ACCGAGCCAAACGAACACGATTTTGGAAAGAAAAAATATCGAAAGAAATGATATCTATCTATCTATCTATCTATCTATCTATCTATCTATCTATCTATCTATCTATCTATCTATCTATCTATCTATCTATCTATCTATTTATCTATAGATATATATATATATCTATATATATCTATATATATATATATATATATATATATATATATATATATATATATATATCAACATACGTTAGTCGTTGCATGCTTTCAGTTAATACAATGGGTATAAAATATATGAACTCGTTAATTAAGCACTACTTAAAAAATTAATTGATTGATTAATTAATTAATTAATTATTATAAAAATAATTACAAATAATAATAAAAATTGTGTGTATATATATATATAATTAGATATATAAAATTATATGAAAAACTCTTTCACGAAAATGCGTTCAACGAAACAGGAATGGGAGATGAAGACAATTAAAAGAAGAAGATCGAATACTAACAAAAAAATTGGATGAACAAAAAGAATGGATAAATGAATGGATGAATGAAAGAACGAACGAATGAGTGAGTGAATCAAAGAAGAACGAAGGAGTAGAGAGAAGGAAGATGAGTCGATAACAAATATAAGATGACATCGTCAAACTGATGTACGTCTTCAAGCTACGAATGATCGATTGGTTGATAGATTGATTGATTGATTAATTGGCTGACTGAACGAACGGCTAAATAAAAGAATGAATGATCAAATGAATGTATAGATGAATGAATAATATTAAAAAAGAATGAAATGGATAAATAAAATAAATTTCTCTATGAATAAATATATAAATTAGCTGTTACCATGAAGACAACACAAAAAAATGAAAAGAATGAACGATGTCACAGAATGAATGAATGAATGAATGAATGAATGAATGAATGAATGAATGAATGAATGATTGAACTGACAGAAGAATGAATGAACGAACAGACAAAAGAAAGAATGAATGAATCATTAAATGGATGAATGGATTAATCTAACATATCGAAATATACGAAAATGAATAATAGAAGGAATGGAATGAAAATAAAAAAATAACGAAATAACAAAACACCGAACCGGCTAATCAAATTAAAAACCAAACCAATGCATAAACGCACGTACACACGCACGCACACATAAAATATTAAAAAAAATAGAAGCTGTAACAGTTTGGTAACAGGGCAACTAACAAGCTAGCCGGCCATTATAATGTATATAAGTGTCATAGACACACACACACACGCACACTAACACACAACACATATATATATATATATACATATTATATACAAATGTGTTAATACTTGTTGTGTGGAGATAATTATTATGTCATTCAAAATTTTTTAGTCTGTCTCACTCTCTCTCGATATATATATATATATATATATATATATATATATATATATATATAGAGAGAGAGAGAGAGAGAGAGAGAGAGAGAGAGAAAGAAAGAGGATAATGTGTAATAAACAAATGGATGGAATAATTATGTAGGAATTAAAGTGATGAACGACTGACGGGAGAAGTGAGTGTACGATTGATTGAAGAAACAAATGATGAAATGACAGAAACGAAAAAGAACAAAAGAACGAATCACAAATAAGCGAATGAGCGAGTCAAATAAATGAATGAATGAATGAACAAAAAGAATGAGTGAATGAATGAAAAAATGAACGAAAGAATGAATGAACGAAAGAATGAATGAACGAATGGAACAACGACGTCCACCTAACTCCAGAAGAATGGGTTACAGATGATATGCTATCTATCGATTACCAACCAAACAGATCTCTAATTATAAATCTTTGCCTCATTTTATACATCATAACATAACTGAAAACATACATACACAGATATGATATATATATATATATATATATATATATATATATATATATATATATATATATATATATATATATATATATAGAGAGAGAGAGAGAGAGAGAGAGAGAGAAAGAACAGATGTGTGTGTGTGTGTGTGTAATTGTGTTAGTTTACAAAAATCATGCCTGTATAGTGTATTAGATTACAAAGATAAGATAAAAATATAAATGAATAATCAGTCAGGTAATGTAATGAATGAATGAATGAATGAATGAATGAATGAATGAATGAATGAATGAACGAATGAACGAATGAATGAACGAATGAATGAATGAATGAATGAATGAATGAATGAATGAACGAATGAATGAACGAATGAATGAATGAATGAATGAATGAATGAATGAATGAATGAACGAATGAACGAATGAATGAACGAATGAATGAATGAATGAATGAATGAATGAATGAATGAATGAATGAACGAATAAATGAATGAATGAATGAATAAATGAATGAATGAATAAATGAATGAATGAATACGACGACGATGATGATGTATGGGTGTATTAGTAGCCTATGTCTACAGAATGAACGAAAAATTAAATGCGTACATTTGTGTCAAATTAACTAAATGAAGAATATAAATTTATATGTATATGTGTGTTTGTTTGTTTGTGTGTGAGTGAGTCACGCTAACATTGTACGTAAACCAGGACCTCAAACGTTTCGTCTTACTTTTTATTAAATATGCATATCATATAAATTCTACACTGAATAAACATTTTTCTTTCTAATTTCAATTCATTCAATCAGTTAATTAATATTCAAAGAGAGCCTGGCATTGCTGGTACCATCAATGAAGACACTCTCATCGCCAGTGGCGTTAACAGTCGCAGAATTGTGATCACTACTACACTCATAGAAGCTTCTAGAGTAGTATGAATTAGCAGGCATCGTACTGTTCAACTTCCTTTCTTTAATACTATTGGCCGCTGCTTTTTCGAGCAGTTCATTTTCAAGCACGTGGGCAGGCTTAAGTGAATGGAAGGTTCCTCGTGATCGGTTGAGGCAGGTGGAGCTAACTCTTGGCCCCGCCTCCGCCAAGAATGTGGCCTCTGAGATGTTTAGGTCGGAGTCCGTTAGGAGGCTTTTGTTGTCGTCATCGTCGCTGTCTTCGCTGCCATCATTTTTCGGTGTGCTGTTACTATTAATGTTGTTAGACGGTGTTTGTTCCTGTTCAAATGGCGGAAAGTCATCTACATCTTGATCTTTGCTGGGTATTCGTTTTTCTGGCACCTCCTGAGGAACATGCTGTGTTGTTGTTGTTGCTGCTGTTGGTATTTGATGTTGCGTTGTGACATCTGTTTGGATTTGTGATACTGGTACAACTTTTGTATCATTGTTAAGCATGAAAGCACTGTCAATTTGATTGAGTAGGCCAGGCGAGTCGTCGTTTCTATTCATAAAGTCATCAACGTCAGTTAAGCTGGTTGCATTTCTGCTGCTGTCATTGTTGTTGTTAGCTCTCTGGGTTTGATTGATTTTATTTTTGTTATCGATGTTTGCATTTTTGTAATCACCTCTGCCATTCATTTCATCCGTGTTGTAATTAACTTTAGTGTTGTTCATGTCATTTGTGCCATTTTCATCTAGGCAGCTACCAACCTTTCTAAAATTAGGATTGGGAATAGGGATGGGAGTAGTGACATGGTGGTCCCCAGATTTTGTTGGTTTGTCATCTTGAGTTTGGTATTTCTGGGGTGATCAAAAAAAAGAATTAAACTATATATTAATGAAATTTTACTTTTTATTTAAATTTTAATGATTTTCAAAATTAAATAATTAAAAGATATATTAGTGATTAAAGAAAAATGAAACAAAATTACTCACTTTAATGTCTCCATCATCTTTGCTTCTTTTGAAGACCTCATCATCACCAACTGCTAACTTTTTGTCCTTAACTTTCTTTGCCTTCTTCTTCTTCTTTTCTTTTTTGTCCTGCAAAAATGTTTTACCAGAATCAATCACTAATCTTTAAAAATAAAATGGGTTTTAATAAATGTTAAATAATAAAAGTGAATTAAGAGGTTAATAAATAATTGAAAATATCAGTATATAAAAAATTAAAATAAGCCTTTTTAATATCAGATGACAAGCATTAAAAGTGAATCTAAGTCAACAAGTTAGTTATTAATGAAATGAATCAAAAACTCTAAATGAAAGGTAAGAATTAATCACCAATGGTCTTTTGGTGTTATCTATGTCATCATATTGTTTGTTCTTCTTAGTACAGGCAAAGCAGGAAAAAAGCTTACTCATCTCGTCTGTCTTCAACTTTGCTTACTTCTAATGAATCTATCTACTCTACTGCAAGAAAGCAAAGCATTCTTTTTTCAATTGGCAATTTGTCATTGAGATTGCATGTTTTTTAATTCAATAATTAATTTATATTTTATAACAATTTTATCTTATATTTTTATAAATTACTATAATAATACAATTGAAACACCTATTAATTAACAAGCTTATTTGTGTACAATTTTATCTTATATTTTTATAAATTACTATAATAATACAATTGAAACACCAATTAATTAACAAGCTTATTTGTGTACTTGAAAAATTTTTTGAAAAAAAAAAATTTTGTACTAACATTTAAAAATTGTGAATTGCTATGAAAATGATAGGCAATTTCCAATTTGGCTTATTTCTTACCTAAATCCGGATAAATCAGGACAGCCAAGTAGGAGAATTGCGCCAACTGGCGTAAATTTAAAAGGATTAAACTTTTCACTTTACGAATTCGCACTTTTAAAGATTTAAAATTTAAAATTTAACGAGAAAAATCGTTACATTTGTCACGACATACCTGGCAAAGATAGAAATTAACTAAAGGTAAATAAAGTCGCTGAGATTAGATGGATATTTCTTACCAAACAGTATTAGATCGATAGCCATGTACAATGAAGAATAGGATTACAATTTTTTTATTGTTATTTTAACAGAATATTTTAAAATAATTCTGCTAAATTAGGTTATTTAGTTGTTTTAATTTTAAATTCATATGTAAAATTATTACATCAATTTCTCTGGAACGGATTATACGATGTTTTTTTTAAACTGTTATCATATTAATACCATATAAAAGTATAAAAAAACTGACGATTACTTTTAAAATTACTAAGATCATAACTATTTTTCAGTTATACATAAATGCCATATTTATTCATTTTGAATTAAGTTAGTTAAGTTAACCTTCCATTTATTGCTAAAAAGTTTGTCGTTACTTCAATTACTACTACATTTAAGCAACAACAAAAAATTATTCTTCTTTTTCTTGTGCTTTATGCTTTCAGGACATTGACGACCATCGACCCCCACAAAATCCGATCTTTAACACTTTGTTGTAGCTGAAATAACCAAAGAATTATACCAAACAATATTTAGGGTTTATAGGTACCTACTAAATGACGATGACGACGCTAGTGCAAGATATTACTGAACGATGTGTTCATCAGCAATTCTTCTCAAAAGACTATATTTTGATTTTCACAAAGTTATCAGACGCTGTTGATTAATTTGATTACTGATTTGATAGGTTCATTGATTGACTCATTGATTGATTCATTGATTGATTGATTCGTTGATTGATTTATTCATGCATTCATTCAGTCGTTCATTAATTCATTAATTCATTTATTCGTTCCTTCATTCGTTCGTTCATTTATTCATTCATCAATAGATGTGCATTTATGTATGTGTGTGTGTGTATGTCTGGTATGTATTTATGTGAGGCAGACTCGTGTTCTACATGTTCTACCCAGAAACATTGAATTTATAATTTTTTGAGTAGGGGAGATGATGAAGCGAGAAGAGAGAACGAAGGAGAGGGTGAGAGAGAGAAAGACAGACCAGACACATAGAGAGAAAGAGAGAGAGAGAGAGAGGGAGAGAGAGAAAAAGAGAGAAAGAGAGAGAAAAAGAGAGAGAGAAAAAAAGAGAACACCGAGAGAAGCAGATTTATCGAGAGAAATAGGTAGAAAGAAATATCAAGAAGGATGTAAAGAGAAATAAGAATATAGATGATACGTAAAGAGAAAGTGAAAAAGAGAGAGAGAGAAAAAATGAAAAATACTAACACACACAAACACACACACACACACACAAGCACACGCGTACACACAAATTCAAATGTGAGAATAAATAAAAATACAACCCGAAAGTCAAATGCACTAACTACTACTTTTCGTCATAAATTTAAAACAGAAAAAAATATCATTATTTAATTTAAACAAAGAAACTAGAAAACAATATATATATATATGTGTGTGTGTGTATATGTATGTTTTTGTGTCTGCCTGTCTGTGTTTGTTTGTTTGTGTGTGTGTGTTCGTGTGTGTGTGTGTGAGTATGTGTGAGTGTAATTCAAAGGGGTAGAATAATATCCATTTTCTGTTCAAGTTTGGGAATTTTCAAATTTTAATTTCATCCAATTAAAATAAAATAAATAAATGAATAAATTCACACAAAAAACAGTTAACCATAGATGACCATTGATGAAAATGGATGAATGTATAAACAAATGAACGAACGAACGAATGAACGAACGAACGAACGAACGAATGATTGAATGAATGATCGGTTGATAGATTAACAAATCATTTAAAAAAATAAGGAATGATTGAATAAGAGAATGAATTTATATCATACAAATTCAAATATTCATATATATATATATATATATATATATATATATATATATATATCGTCCAATATATATATATATATATATATATATATATATATATAATAAGGCCATTTTAAGCGTATAATCAAAACAACAAACAAAACTAGCGACGATGATGATAATATAATATAAAGATGACGACGATGATGAATGATGGTGATAATCACAATGAAAGTGTCAAATGATGAAATGGCGATGAAAGTTTTAAAATTAACATGACGATGATGATGACGACGACGACGATGATGAAATGATGATAGAATGATGAAAAGTTAATGATGATGATGATTGGAAAAACTAATAAAAACTTTTCTCCATTAGATGTTTAACACTGTTATTTAACAACAAAAATAAAAAATAAATACACGCACACGCACGCACACACACACACACACACACACACACACACACACACACACACACATATATATATATATATATATAAGACACTTGAAGAATCAGGCACTTTTCAGTAAATATTAAATCGTGAACAATGTAGTGTGTGTGTATGGCTACGTTATTCATGATAACGATGATGATGGTGGTTATGGTGATGATGATAATGATGAAGATGGTAATGGTGATGATGATGATAATAATAATGGTTATGGTGATGATGCTTATTTATGAAGCGCTGTATTTTTGCCTGAATGACGATTGGTTTTGACGCGGTCACAAATAATGTAATGGTAAAGATGACGATGATGATGACGGTGATGACTCTATCTTAATGACGTCATTATCGTAAATGGTAATAAACTCGTTGTTTTTGTCAGCTGTGTCGTTCGCATTATCGGCGGGCTTTTATTTCTTTGTTGACATTCTGAAATTATTGTCATCGTTCAGTGCTGTCAATGCTGATGCGATCGCTGATATAGAAGTATTGTTGTTATTGTTATTATTATTGTTGTTGTTGTTGTTGCTGCTGCTGCTGTTGTTACTGCAACAGCTGCTTCTGCTGCTTCTGTTGTTGTAGGCATTAACGTTGATCGCACCAAATCATTTCGGGCATTACTTCTAGTTCAATTCTGCAGCGATGGTTAAAAAATTAATCAGTCGTAACGTATTTAAAGCTTGTAGAAATGGTCATAATAAATTATAGTAGTATTACTACTTGTAGTAGTAGTAGCGGCAACAGTAGTAGCAGCAGCAGCAGCGTAGTAGTAGTAGTAGTAGTAGTAGTAGTAGTAGTAGTAGTAGTAGTAGTAGTAGTACAGACAGTTAGTTAATGTATACAAGTTTATTTAAGTTCAACATTTTAATAAGAACAACAAAAATAATAACAATATATATACAATGATCATAATAATAATAATAATAATAATACATTGTTATACGTTACACGCATCGCATTTTCTAATTCATTCAGTAATAAACAAAGAAATGTCGACGAAGTTAGCTCGATGTTGTCGAGTCTAGACGCCATAATACCTTTTCTGGTACCATTTTTCTTTAATTAGTTTAATCTCATTGATTTTATTACTGTGTTTTACTCAACAGTCAAAGAAGAAGTAGTAGTAGTTGTTGTTATCTTAGTAAAATATATGTAGTAGCATTAGTAGTAGCAGCAATAGTAGTTGTACTAATGTTTGTAGTGGTAGTAGTAGTGGTAGTAGAAGTAGCAGCAGTAGCAGTAGTAGTAATAGTAAAAGTAGTATTGATAGTCATAGTGGCAGTGCAAAAATAGTAGTGCTTTCAATCTGTAACAATGTGACACATAAGAGAAGATTTTGAAATTTGAACGAGCCAATGAGCGTTGGCTCGCGACGAAAATCTGAACGCTGATTGGTTGATTAGTATTTCCTTTGTTACATATTAGATGGTAATGCTCACATATGTATGTATGTATGTATGTATGTATATATGCGTGTGTGCGTGTCTGTCTGTCTGTATGTATGTGTGTGTGTATATGTATATGTATGTATATGTGTGTGTGTGTATGTATGTATATATGTGCATATAATTATGCTTGTTAATTATTTATTATTAATATTATTGTTATTATTATTATATTATTTTATTATATAGCTGCTGTCGTTGTTGTTATTATTATTATTTTGGCTCTGGCACGCGAGTATGTTTGCTCTAAGCTCTATCTCTTTATTTATTTATTCCTTCATTCATTCATTTGTTAGTTTTATTCAGTCTTTCATTCATTCATTCATTCATTCACTCACGCACTTTCAGTATTAGTTTTTTCACGTTTCAGTTCATTGCAAAGTTTGTTACTAAAAAAATTACCATGAATGAATGAATGATTCAGTAAACGGATAAACGAATGAATGAACGAACGAACGATCGATTGAATGAATGAACGAACGAACGATCGATTGAATGAATGAACGAACGAAAGAAAGGATAAACGAAAAAAAATGAGTGACAGTTCAAAGCAAGAGAGG